TTAATAGGAGTATTAGGCAAAATGTTTTTACTTAGATATCATAATTAATTAGAAAATTTTTCTTTTGGCCAGGCACCGTGGCTCACGCCTGTAATCCTAGCATTCTGGGAGGTCGAGGCAAGAGGATTGCTTGAGGTCAGGAATTGGAGACCAGCCTGAGCAACAGTGAGATCCCAACATATCATTTTGCAGAAGAGGTAAGGTTTGTACTTCAGCAATATTATCGAGAGATAGTATTAGATATATGACCCATAAGAACTAACAGATGCCATGAGAGTTTAAAGGGTGGGGATGTTCTTTATAGGACAGAGGGATGTGAGCAAGGACATCTTCATGGAAGAGAAGACCTTTAACTTTCAATGAAGTATGGAATTTAGAAAGCAAAGACTGGAGGCCAGAAAAACGCTAAGACATAGAACAATAGTATGAGTTAACATATAGCAGTGGTGCCATGTAATTCATGGCTTAGTAAGATAAGTAATTCTGTTTTGACCAGACTGCTTAAACAAAGGAATCCTATAGTGGATGAATGGGAGATAAGGCTAAACAGGCATAGCCAGCCTTAAGGGGAGGGCACCAAAAGCTAAGCTGAGTCGATATTCGGATTTCTAAAATTTCTCCTAGCAATCATAGTTCATCATGATCCTTTAATGCAGTTAAAAGACTTGTATTTAAAGATATAGTACAACCATGACTTACCCATCCAGTCCCCTAAACGAATAACATACTTACACATACCACAATTTCCTACAATCTAGAAAAGCAGACATTCAGACTTGAACTCGTAGCTTTAACTTTGGTGCCTTCCTTTCCCTTGTTTCTGACATCTAATAGACACTGTTGGGAAACATTCATAAATGTCATGTTCAGATTAGTACTGCTACCTGGAAGGCATTATTTCAAATGGCAATATGAGTATTTCTTGTCTCATCTCTTAAGCGATGTTATTAGGATAGTTATCCATGTCTTGCCAAAGCAAGGGATCAGGAAGATGTTTTAGCCAGTGTAAAAAATAGAACCTGTGATCACAATTCTCTTCTTTCTTTAAATCATTAGTGGTGTTAATCAGACATTTGAGCTGAGTTTAGAGCCATGGACTGCTAGAACTGGAAGGGGCCTTAGTCTGAGCTCCTTATTTTACAGTGAAACAAACAGGCCCAGAAAGGTAAAGCGACTTGCCTCAGGAGACACAGCCAACTTTTTCTAGCACCAGGACTAGAATCCAAATCTCTTAGATCCTACTGTTTTTCTCATGTCAAAATAGTTACACCACTATATCTCATTAGTTTCGAATTAACTTAAAAAGAGAGTGTTCAGTAACTTTTTATACTATACAGCAGAGTTTCTCAAACTCAGTACTATTGACATTTGGACCAGATAATTCCTTGTTGTGGAGGGCTTCCAGTGCACTGTAGCATGGTTACCAGCAGGCCTGGTCTCTACCCGTTAGATGCCAGTATCACCCTTTCTCCTCCCATTCTGACAACCAAAAATGTCTCCAGACATTGCCAAATGTACCCTGGGAAGCAAAACTGCCCCCAGTTGAGAAATCTGCTATTCAGATATAAGGTCACAGGTACTGTTCGTGGTCTATGGAATATATGCGACACCCTACTCCCACCACCTCCCCTATCTCACATAAACCTCTAGAATAATTCCTTCAGAAAGCCAGTATGACCTAAATTAATGCTACCTAACCTAGGGGGCCTTCTCCCAAGAATCTCACACCTTTAACTTGATAGCACAAGGCTTCTCCAAGGTGCTCTGGTTTCCCTTGGTAGTAACTCCATCATTGGAATCTAGGGTGATATGTTACAGAAGATAGCCTAAAGGAAATGCCAACTGAATCTTCAAGGACAAATCAGAACCAGCCAGGTAGAGAATGGAAAATACTTGCAAGGAAGATGGAGCATGTATCTAGAAGCAAGGAGGAAGAACACCTGGCTTCTCCTGGCTATAGTGTCAACATAAGATGAGAAATCAAGCTGGAGAGAAGGCAGGGCCTTGTGGAACCAATTATACCATGCTACAGAGTTTGGAATTGATCCAGAAGATAATTAGAAGCAGAGAGGAAAATGCGTCAGACTTGCATTTTAGAAAGACCTGAAGTCCAGCAAATTACAAAGATGGGGATTTAAAGCCAAAGCACAGGCCACCTCAAGAGAAACATTTTTTTTTCTTTTGAGACATGGTCTCACTCGGTCACCCAGGCTAGAGTGCAGTGGTGTCATCATGGTTCATTGCAACCTCAAACTCCTGGGCTCAAGCGATCCTCCTGCCTCAGCCTCCCAAAGTGCTGGGACTACAGGTGTGCACCACCATGCCCAGCTAATTTTTCTTATTTTCTGTAGAGATAGGGTCTTTCTATGTTGTCTAGGCTGGTCTAGAACTCCTGGTCTCAAGTGATCCTCCCACCTCAGCCTCTCAAAGTGCTGGGATTACAGGAGTGAGCCACCACGCCCAGCTTCAAGATAAACACTTGATGTGAATATAAAAGAACAGTCGTGCCAGAGTTCACTCTTGCCTTCTTACACCAGGAGGGGAGGGATTCTCCTCCTAGGACCAATGATGACACAAAGACTGGCAAGAAGAGGCACAACCTCTTCCTCCACCCAGGAATGTGAGAGGGGGAAACCTCTGAACACCAAGGCAGGAAGAACTTTTTCTTCTAGAAGCTAAGACTTCACAGAGAGGTTGAGCTTGCCATCATCCCAATTTCCTACTTGAAATTCAGGATATATTTTTTCCCCAGAAAGAAAAAAAAATGCTACATTTTGCTATTTTTAAATATATGATTCAGCCAATCTATGGATTAAAGGTGTTTTGTGTATGTGTGTGTGCTTATATGTGTGTATTAGCTATTGAACATGTTGTTTCTGTGGGAAAATGAATTACAGTCTGACTTTCAGAACATAATCCATTTGCCAGTTGTGGACTGTGCATGCCTATGCAGAGAAAGTACAAGCACTAATGACAGTAGCAAAATGCACCAGCCAAGTTTCACAGCTCTTAGAACTCTTCCATATAGAAGGGACTCTGGGGCTATTTAAGAGCAATGCAAGGCCGGGCGCGGTGGCTCATGCCTGTAACCTAGCACTCTGGGAGGCTGAGGCAGGAGGATCCCTTGAGCTCTGGAGTTCGAGACCAGCCTGAGCAAGAGTGAGACCCCGTCTCTACCAGAAATAGAAAAAATTAGCCAGGCATGGTGGCATTCGCCTGTAGTCCCAGCTACTTGGGAGGCTGAGGCAGGAGGATCACTTGAGCCCAGGAATTTGAGGTTGCTGTGAGCTAGGCTGATGCCACTGTACTCTAGCCCAGGAAACAGAGCAAGATTCTGTCTCAAAAAAAAAAAAAAAATGAGGTAGAAAGTCCTTGTACCTGTGCTCATGGGATAGAAATGCCTTCCTTTTAGGGGCAGAAGCTAACATGGACATGAGGTTGCCTTGATTAATTCCCAGTGTCAGTAAGGGGGGTCAACTTAAGTAAACTAATGTTAGTACCATGTCCTATTACATATTTAAGAGTTGATTTGCTGATTTGCAGCTGAAACATGGTGGCCTTCTTTCCTCTGATTCATCCATTACTCAGATGGCCCTCGCTTCCTAGATTTCTTAATAAATTCCAATAGTTTTCATTAGCAGCCATCAAATCTATCAGAAACATTTCGAAGTGTTTCTTTTTGCCTTTCACTGCTGAAGACCTATCTCTAGCCTCTCCCAGTTCCAACCCACCTTGATCCCTGAGGGCAAATTTACTTTCAACAATGCTTTGATTAGGTTACACCCCTTTCAAAATCCTTTCACCACTTCCCAATTCCTAGGGGAATAAAGTCCCAAACCCTAGCCTGCCTTTTAAGGCCCTGTGGAGTTTTCACCTGTATATTTGCCTCACCCTCCAATACTCTTGCATACATGGTATCCTTAGGGTGCCCTAAAAAGGCTATCCTCACCCCTGCCACCGTGCTTTGCTCACACTGCCCTGAATTCCTCAATTTCTCCCTCTCTACTTTAAAAGAACATTTGTGAGTCTGTCTACTCTCAGTGAAGTAGAAGTCTTAGCTCATTTCCGCCCATTCCCTGCTCACTCCTCTCCATTTCTGGCAGAGAATTATTCTATGCATTCCTGGCTTCCTTGTGAAAGGGGTTCTCCACGACGATGCCGCCCACCCCCTAGCTGTGAGCAGTACAGGACAAATAAACAACTCAAGGCCCTAGAAAGACGCCTGCCACATCCTGGGCGCTCAACAAATACCTATTAATTTTATTGAACAAATTCAAGATATGTGATTTTGTACTCGTAAGATTACCACCCACTTTCTCCCGTAGGCCAGGGGATCTTCTCCCCCCTAGGTGAGCAAAAGCATCTAAATATCTTAACTCTCAAAAAGTTAGCTTTGACATATAAAAAGTAGAACTTCCTCTGTAACCCTGTAAGAAATGAGAAGTCCCCAAGCTCCCGGCCCCACACCTACCGCGTATTGAATTTCAGGTTCCTTGAAAATAACTGACCTGGGTCGTTTTTTAATAAATTAAACTTTGCATCTTCTCTGCAGTGCAAAGGTAACCTTACCTCCAGCCCAGCCAAATCACCAACAAATTCTGCATGAGAGAAAAATGTTTTTAAAAATGGAGAAGTGAGGGTAAAACGTCTACATGCAGGAACAGTACAACAGGTGCTGAGCTGCAAAATCAACACACTAAACACCCAAACAGACCTAGGCGAGCCAAAGCTTCTTTAGCTAACCTAATGTTCTTCAGTTGTTGTTTCAGAGGCTTTGCGAGAACAAAAATGCCCCCTCCCCTTGGCTTTGTTGTTTTGCGCCTATCACTTACTACACAGTGTGTGTCTGACTTGTTTACCTGGGCTCATCTTTGTTACACCCAGCCACCTCGCTCGGCGACCCGGGCGACCACGTTTCCTTAAATCAGAGCCCCGTAGACTCCGCAGGGAACTACATTACCCAGCGGCCCCCGCGCTCTTCGCAGGAAGGACGTCTGCGCACTAAGATACTCAGTTCCAAGTTTGGAGCTTTTAGCTGCCAGCCCTGGCCCATCATGTAGCTGCAGCACAGCCTTCCCTAACGTTGCAACTGGGGGAAAAAATCACTTTCCAGTCTGTTTTGCAAGGTGTGCATTTCCATCTTGATTCTCTGAAAGTCCATCTGCTGCATCGGTCAAGAGAAACTCCACTTGCATGAAGATTGCACGCCTGCAGCTTGCATCTTTGTTGCAAAACTAGCTACAGAAGAGAAGCAAGGCAAAGTCTTTTGTGCTCCCCTCCCCCATCAAAGGAAAGGGGAAAATGTCTCAGTCGAAAGGTAAGAGCCTATTTGCATTACTTGCAAAAATGCAAAGGGTTGTGCATGCATTTATGAATGCATGGATGCAATTTTCGCCTGGCGATTGCATTTTTAAGTTTGAGGTTTTCCACAGCTCAGTTGCATTTCCTGTTTAGTATGTGTCTTTTTTTGCAGACACAGAGAGTTCCTGTAAGGCAGGGCTTGCAGTTCAGCTGTGCATTGACGTTATTTGCATTCTTCTGCTAGGATTACTGAGCTCTTTTTGCCTTTTGCACAGTCAGGAGAGATAGAGCAGGTTGGTAGCGTCTAAATGTGCAATGCTTTATATAATTGTAAAATTCTTTAGTATGCACACACGTTATAAGTAATTTTGTGTGCAACAGGAATACAAACTTTCTAAAAGTATGTAGGTGAAGATGAAAGGTAAAACTTGAGTTAAACTACTAGGAAATTAATGTAATCTTACATTCTTTTGGGAATAAACCGTTGCAGCGCCGGTATTTAGCTAAATTTCCATTGATACCGCTTTGAACATTAGGCAACTTTTGATTTTTAAAGGAAGTAAAGGTGAAGGGTGAATAAGAGCATATTACAAAGAAGCAGACAAGAAGTCTTGCTCTTCGGAGATTTTGCACTTTACACCAATTGCTTATTGGCTCACAGTATTTAGAAGCAGCAGTAGGGACCTAATGTTTTATGTCTGCCCATTTGAGAGATGCTTTGCATCTCGGGGGGGAAAATATTGAGGGGGGAAACAGTACTTTTAAGCATTACAGCAATGTGAGGAGACTGCACTGTTTCATTGACAACCATAATGAAATCTTTTAAGTGTATAATTGCATATATTTAGTCGGCTATACTAGGTCAGAAGTTCAGGATTATGGTTGTTTTATTTTTGTTTTTTCTTTTTCTTAATATTTTAAACACAGTTGTATTTTGCAGGCTTAATGTCATCCTGGGGAGGGGATTAAAAAAACTCCTGACTTGGCATAAGAGAGCTGAAGGGGTGCTGTCAGATGCCTGTGGGACCCTAAATCACTTATTTCAGGACAATTCCTTCTTTACCACAGAGAAAGCATATGCCATATGAGAATGTATGCAATGAAGAAGAGATGAGTTAGGTACTAGTGAATTTGGCGACCTGTGGCACTGTCTGAGTAAGACCTGGTGAAATTAAAGTGTCTAATAAGCTTTCGGCTGCTTTTCTTTTTTTTTTTGAAGTAGTTGTACCACTTTTTAATTTTACCTGATGGAAGTCATAGTATCTCAGCAACCCAAGAAGGAAGTTATATTTTCAAGAATTCAAAGTAGGACTTTGCTTTTCTTTGAGTATTAGGGGAGAATGAAAATCTGAAAAGTTAATAGTGTTGAAGAACCTAAGAATTGGCATTATGAAGTAGAGATGTTCCTTTAATAGGGAAAACCTAAAATCTAATTGAGCCGAAAAGTAGCAGTTTAGAAGAGGCAGTCCATGCTTTGGTGTATTAAAGAGACCGCATCTAGTTATTTTGTATTTGGGAAACATTCAGCTCATTCATTTAATTCAGTTTAATGTATGTATAAATATATTATGGTATGCATGTTTATATACATATATGTGTGTGTGTGTTCATACGAGATTTGGGTGACACACAAAATATTTAAAATGAAGTCCTTCGGGGAACTTACCTTCTGGTTGGGGAAAGCAAGTATGTATGGAAATCATTATAATTCAAGTTAATAGGACAGGTATTGAAGAGAAATGGTGCTATTGGAATCTAGAGATTGAAGTGATCTTTCTATTTGGGGGATAGTCAGGAACGTGTCCTGAAGAAGGTATGGCTTACTATGATCTTATCTTTGGACCTTAGGATCTAAACTAAATCATTCTCCTTTTTGCATACTTTTGGGGTCATTCTTAAGGTAGCTGCCTCTCAGTAGAGAACATTTTCCAGTTGGAAAGCTAAAGGAAATTTTAGGACAGCCCTCTGCACTTATGGGTGTGCCTATATGGATCAGATACTGGTAGTCCTTCAAATCAATTCCCAATGACCCAGAGGAGTTTTCTTAATTGGAATCTGTTTAAAAAGTGCATCTGGTATGAACATGGGGTTTTTGTCCAAAGGGAAATTTATTGGTAGAAAGAAGTGGGTGATCATTTTAGAAATGGCAAAGGAGCCTTGGCCTGGACCTTAAATGTGGAATTGGCCTAATTCAGCTACGCTATTCTCAAATGGCCAAAACGCTTTTTGCAGTACCAAACTTCTTGTTTAATACTCTGACTAAATAAAATGGGAGGAAAAGTGAAAGGTAGATAGAATCTCATAGTATTGAAGAATTTAACAACATGTTCAATTCAAGAACCTTTACAAACTTTCTAGATCACTATAATTCGGTTTTACAGACCTCTAATTTAAGGCAGCAGCAGAAGCAAAAGAATTACAGACTCCCTGGGAGCTGGAAGGACTGGGTTATTTCTTTCCAGCCTTACCAACAGTGAGATTCCGAGAAAGAATTTCTTAAAAAGAAATTTTGTTTTCCACAGTAGTAACTTTAGGTGGTATGCTTTTCAGCTTGTTTATATTAGCTGTCTGGGGTTGAGCTGACATTTTTCAAATATTAAAGCAGTGGAATGCCTTTTGAGGAAATCTGAAATGTAAGTTAACAGGAAGGGCACCCAGAAAGTGCAGGAATTCCTGCACATTACAGGAAGACAAGCTACAGGAAAAATGTGTCATCTACACTACCCAGGAGAGAAAAACTATTGTTATCAGCTATAATGATCTTCCGAGGGAGGGAGGGAAAGAGTGAGGGAGAGAGGTCTTGCATCTCCAAGTACACCTGAAAATATACAAAAAGTTTGACCCTGTTAAAATATACTCTTTCTCACTGCTCCTCCTATTCACCTTTAAAAATATTAGTTTTGTTTTAATATAGTAATAAGTAAATCATGTAAGAAATGCATAATTCAGAAGCATATAAAAGAGTGGTAGAAAAGGGCTTAACTATTGAGTTTTTTTGCCTCTGTAATTCATTCTACCCTAGGAAATGAAATGCATAAATTTCTCATTCTGTGTAAATTCCTTTGTTAGATTGTACCAGACGGACTTGTCATGCTTAGTTTGTAATCTGAGCCAGTATGTTTTATAACCCGTACGTCTTAGGACACAAAATCAGAATAGATACCTTGGGTTTCCTGAGCTTGTTTTGTAATAGTGCTGCATTCAGTTCTTTATAGCTTGCTGCATGTCAGCTGCAGGGGGATCCGGGGGGCTCTTGGTGGTAAATTTAATGCTGGAGAAAAGAGTTGAGATTCTCATGCCTTTGTTTTTCACAGGTTTGTATTATTTAACCACTCACCAGTATTTTAAAATCAGAAAGCTCTATAAGGAATATTTTTAAAACTTAAAAGAAAAAAATTGCGTAAATAATACTTATTCATTATAGAAACATTAGAAAAGGAAAATAAGAATTACTAGGTACTGCAGTATACATTTGGGCATATAGCCTTTTAGAGATACATACGTATATATATATATATATATATATATATATATAAATACATATGAAACATTCCAAATATGTGTAAAACTATGTCTATTTAGTTAGTTACCTTTTGTTTCACTTACCAATATAGTGTGAATTATTCTGAAGCTAATATATTTCTACTTTCATAGTATCCAATTACACTGATTTTATTTAAATCGAATCTTAATGTTTATTAACTTTCAGTATAATGAATATTGCCTGCTGTGATGATCATCCCAGTTCATACATTATTGTGCATAGTATGGCCTTAGATTGAATTCCAGGCAGCAAAACCACAGGTTATGGATGTTCAATTCTTCTCACTCCCCATTCTCTTTTCTACCTCCTGAAAATAGCTTTTTCATTATTATAAAAATAATGTGTACTCATTGAAAAATTCAAACCAAAGAGAAATTCATAGTAAGAATATAAAACTCACTCAACGTCATACCACCCATAGCTAATTACTGTTAACTTTTTGGTGACAATCTCTGCATTTGTCCATACATACATACATATTCATACATGCTATTTTATACACTATATATGATATTTTGCAACTTGCTTTTTTATCCTCTACCATATATCTTGGATATCTTTCTATATTAGTACACATTTGGTTACCTCATTCTTTTTAACAATTGTGTATTTTCGTTTTTAAGAATGTAGTCATTTATTTAATCTCCCATTAGATTTGCACAGTTTCCATTTTTTTTTTTTTTCACAGCTAAAAACATACATCTTTGCACATTTGCCCAATTATTCTTTAGGATGATTCCTAGAAGTGGAAGTCCTGGATCAAAGGGCATGCATAAATATATTGCCAAATTGCCCTCCAGAGGGGTAACACTAATTCTCATTTCCACCAATCATGTTTGGAAGTACCCCTTCTTTCCTTTCAAGCATTGTGGTAAATATTGCAAAGTAAATTGCTCTCCAGAAAGGTTATACCTTTCTTCATCCTGGGTATAAAAATTTGGAAAAATCTTTGACAATTTGGTAAAAGGTATTAATGCTCTGCTCTTATTTGTGCTTTCTAGTAATAAAGCAGTTGAAGTTTTCACTTTTTCTGACAATTGTGTCTCATGTGTTTGAATTTCTTTTTTTTTTCTCATTGAGTATGTCTTTAAAACTTTAATTTGGGGATCAAATTATTTTAAAAGTTAGGCCATAAAGTTCCAAGATTGTTGATTAGGGAATCATAGGTTGAAAGTTGGGTCCCATGCATCTAAACAATTTAATTCCTTAATGAGTTCTCATTTTAATTTTAGCCAACATGTCTTAAGTAAATAGCACATATTTTACAAACTCATTTTGTTTATATGGTCTATAGCTATCCAGACCTATATGAAAATAATAAGAAAAATGTATTGATCTGATTAACATTTGAATCTGGGAAATAACTTACTACTGGGCATTTCTCCATTTTCAGTTATCTCTACAAGCAAAAGTAATTTTTCTTTACTTTTGTAAATAACTCTTACATATTACCTGGTTGTGTTATGTGTATT